ATCAATTATAAATATATATACATTTCATTTGGTTTGGATAAGTTTTCCTGGCTGTCATAATAATTGGCTTAATAAGTAAACAAAATAATTTGATCGACGAATCGTTTCCCCATGGTACAATTAATCAGTAATGACCAATACCTGTAATGAGGAGCATATATATACGATGTAATGGATTACCTCCAATATTTACTGTTTTCTCTGCTTTGCACTGATATTTTTTGTAACAGAAGTTATGACCGGCGGGAATAATGTCAACTGCCAACATTGTGGGAAAAACACATAACAGGATTAACCCCGTGATCCTGAGTGTATGTAAAATGTGTGTACTATCGCTAATTACCTAAAAACCTGCCAGTATCTGGGACACCTTGGAGCATGTTAGCACCTATGGGAAATAAGATGGCGTAGAATTCTTTTCAATCAACTGGATTTAGTTGTAAAAAGCATTGTTAGCTTCATGATACATTCAGATAAAATTAAACTTAGAGATTATTTTTATAATTAATATTATCAAAACTGAAAATAGAATACTGTATCAGTCTCACAAAATACACAATACAAAATCATTTTTCTGCAGAAAGATTTACACAAATTGTTTTTAAAAGTATGTCTAAGGATATTGCCAAGCAAACAAGACTTACTACAGCTTGATTCTGAGCTTACACTTCAGCTTGAGTCAACAATTCACGTTGATGAAATATGAAATGACAAACCCTGATATTGATGGTTATGAAGTTTTATTAAAAGTCTTTTATCAATTCTGTACCGGTACATGTGATGTCTCTGACATCAAAACAGCCATCTCCTGTTCCCTCCGTTTTGACATGGAAATTTTCTGACATTGATCTGGCTATCATAATAAATTTCCATTACCCCTTTTGTTGTCCAAAACTTATATGCGATCAAATTTAACCAACTTATCTTTGAAAAGGATTGAGTATGAATAATTCGAAAAGTTCTTGTATACATGTATCACTGTCTACCATCAGTGCTCAGGAAGGTGGAACTTGAGCCAGGAGTACTTCAATGCTGCACCTATTTTGAAATCTAGTGTTTATCTTTATTTAGTAAAGAATGGTAAGTAATATATGTTGGAACCTCTAGTAGATGTGAAAGTGTTATATGAACCTGTATCATGGCCATATTGGAGCAAATTCATATGTAAATCTAACTGTGTCAAATTACAAATTAAGCTTTTAAAAAGAAGTCTGTCTCTATTTTAGCACTATGCTATCACTGTAAATTTATGCACATATATTACATCACAGTTGAAATTTGAAGTTTAAAATTGATTCAATCAGAATTTGAAGTTTAAAATTGATTCAATCAGAGTAAGAAGTTTAAAATTCAAATCAAGCATGTTTAAAAGGTGCAGATAGGGGAGAATTGCTTGTATAGATAAGATTCTATCACAGATTGGTTTGTTTACAGTGTATCTCATTCAATTAATGTATTTTGAAATTTAAAACGCCCGAAATGATACGATCTTTGGTAGTGTTAAATGCCCCAGTGTTGTTCTGCAACTCCGCTATTGATACAAAGGGACTTTACATGCATAAGCTGGGGATCACAGCACTATCACGGTCGATTGAGTTTGATCTTTGTGTATAACGTTTTTTACGTTACCGTATTTGCTCAATCATTTGTCCATTTTCGCTTTTGTGAATTTTCTTTTTGAAGATAAGGAATTAAATCTGAAACCGAATTTCTCGAAACTCATCAACAAAATATCGCAAAAAAGTGTTTTAAGGATCCCTGTCCCACGGCTGGCGAACCATTCAAAAGTTCCACCTTAGTTTTCTTTACACATAGTAAAGATCTGTTAGTTTCATTTTGGATATAAGTGTAGGGCAACCCTGTTTCGTTAGGATAACATCAGACAATAATGAATACCATATCATTTTATCATTTTAACATTGTTCCTTCAAAGATTATGTAACCAGAGCTTTCATATTTTCATATGTCCTATATGAGGATTAATGTTTATCTATTGTTGTGTAGTAGTAGGTCCATATTGTTTCATGATTTTTTTATTTTTTTTTAAGGATAATGGATCTTGTAAGTGTCAAACCTGCTAATACAACCAAATCTCTGTAGAGCCTACCTGTGTTAGGAGACCACTTTTAATGTCCCCATTGCACTGATTTTATTGTGAACTGAACCTGTTAATAGCCAACCTATATAAAGAGACAACTTAGTTTTTTTAACATTTTAATGATTTGTTTGAACTGAACCTGTTTTTAGACTTACATGGGTGGTGTCTTAACACAGGTTTGACTGAAGTACAGTCCCCTTCAGCAGACCAAGGGCTTACTTTATGTATATGACGGTCAAGTCCAACATTACAGTCCTTACATTACATATATTACGGTGAAGTCCAGCAGTGGGATTGGGCCAATTTAAACAGACCATGGGTTCACTTATGCACATTACGGTAAAGTCCAGCAGTACAGTCCTTACATTACATACATTATGGTAAAGTCTAGTAGTGGGATTGGGCCAATTTAAACAGACCATGGGTTTACTTTATACACATTACGGTAAAGTCCAGCAATACAGTCCTTACATTACATACATTATGGTAAAGTCTAGTTGTGGGATTGGGCCAATTTAAAAACAGTTTGTTTATTACAAACCGATCATACATCTATCCTTGTTTTGTCACCTGCCACAATGGATCAGCCTTTGTGTAGGATTTTAACCAGCAATTTGACATTTAACTTGTTGATAAAAAATGTATCAATGTATTTTAAGCCCAGAAGTCTTCTGTGTGAAAAAACCCAAACAGATTGAGGTTCTGTTGTATACTTTACAATGGATTTTTTGAAGTTAGAATATGCATCATGAAAGGTAGGAGAAAATTGTTCCAAATTTTATTTTATAACACTTTTGCATAAGTTTTCTCAGGTATGGTCGAAATTTCTGTTATAGTTTCATATTTATGATAATTCATAGAGCTTACAAAAGCATTGAAAGATTACCTGGGGAAAAGGCACATGGATTCAACTTACAAAATGAATCTGCAAAATCTGCAATAGAGAGGTATCATTTTGAATCCTGAAATGCCATGTATGTATCTTCAGGATTCCTGTCTCACTTCAGGCGAAACATCAGAGAATTCCACTGTAGGTGTTTTTATTCATACAGTAACCTCCCCTTAATTTTATTTTTACTATAACTAAAGGGTGACTGGTTCAGGGTATTTGTGTTCACCATGTAGCTCAGCTGGTTATTTATAGAATAACACTATAATGACTGGAGTTCAGGTTTATTCGAACTTTAGGCCATTGGCCTATCAGTATACAATACATATGATACACAAATCATGGACAATGAACAGAGAATGAAGACAATCATATTACATTATAATACCCTTAATTTGTTTACCTCATAAATGAATTTTCCTAGTATACACAATTTTTTAATATTATGGACACTCAATAACTGAACGACTTTAAACACAGATGTTTTTTTCCAATAATAGCTTTTGATAAAACGTGATCTGAGATTTGGAAGTGCGGGGTTTGAATCCTTGTCCGGCCCTATTACATTTTTACACTCATATTGTTGTTGGTATTTTATGTATGCTTCATCTTTATTGTTTTTTTCTCATAAAAGTTCCATAAGGTATGTGTTGTTTTCAGAAAGAACTTATCAAAGCTTTAATTGTGTCGAAAAATCTTCCCAATGCATGTAGTTACAGTGGTACAGGGATCCTTCAATGTCATGTGGTCACATGTCACATGGTGTGCAAATGTAGTTTAAAGAGTAAATGATGGAAATCACTTTGAAATCAATTTTCATTATTGAGATAAAAAAAAGATTAAAAAAAAACGGAATTTAAAATTTAGAAGCTGCTAATAAAAAAAGAATTTTGGAAACCTTTTTAAAACATTGGTTCTAAAGTTTCATGCAGATATCTATTGAACAAGCAGCTGAATTCTGAAGATATGGTAATGAAGTATTGAGGCATTGTATTGGTATATAATAGACCACAGTTGTTCCCTGGTAGGCTGGTAACTTGTAGAAACCTGTAGACACAAGTCTTGAGTAAATGAAAGACAACAAATCACATCAATATGTTTGCAAAAGTCATTGAATGGTCTACTGCATGCAGTTTCCAAATGTTGTACTGCTTTGCTTAAAATACGGGTTCCAAATACGATTTCAAAAATGCTTGACAAAAAGAGATATTTTCTTTTCTTTTGTTAATTAAAAATGTATCAAAATGTTAATAATATAGTTAGCAGACCAAGGTTAGCTTGTGCCATACCAATTATGGCGTCCATTGTCCGTCCGTCTGTCTGTCAACAATATCTGAAAAAGACTTTTTCTTCTGAACCAGTGATTGGACTTTGGCTGGAAGCATCTCTGGGTGATGGGGATTCAAAATTACTTAAACGGAGAGGCTAACCCTCTAAACCTACCAGAAGGGGCTGAGGGGCTCGGCCAAAAAAGGGGTAATTTGGCAATATTGCTTTATGCAGATATCAACCACTTATTTGATTGGAAGCATGCATTCTCAGGTAATGGGGATTCATAATTGTACAAACCGAGGGGCTAATATGGTGGAACCCTTTACCTTGCTCTTGTACCGTTTATTTTCCCTTAGAAGTCGGTAGTCAAGGTTTACTTGATAACCCTATATAACAGCAGTCAGCTTCACCATTGCTGTTCCCTATCAACAGTTCTACCTCAGTGGTTTTACAAAAGAATGCTATTTCATAAAGATGATACACCAACGATTCCACTGGAACAGTTTTACTTGTTAGGCTAACAATAACAGCATTACTGTCTCTACGGCCAGGCATAGCAACACAATGTATTAGTTCCAACTACCTGTCCATCAGTTTGACTGATGTTGTCTATAAACATTTTAGCATTGCTGACCTGTTTGGTAGCCTTACTCTCTCTGGTGAACATGCCAGCTATAATACCGAACTGCCTGTGTATAGGGTGCAGTACAAGGTTTACAAACTCACAAGGCACCCCACCAACAAAACAAGCAGAGGCTGACAGGTATGTGCCAGCCAGTAATTACACTGCAAAGCTGCCCACACTGCTGGGGCTTGTTAAAGGCCTAAGAGCTATTGGACAAAACTGAAGGTAAGGAAACGGACAATTAGGATGCCTTCATTATAATGTGTTATGGGTAGACAATTTGGATGCCTTCATTATAATGTGTTATAGGTAGACAATTTGGACATCTGTGAAAGGATGTTATAATTTTTTTTTGTGTTTAAGTGCAAATTATACTGGAAACCACATGGTATGTTTAATATATCATTACCATGTAACACGGGGAAGTATTATACAGATGGAGCCACGATAGTTACAGATTGGAGGAGAAAGGTGTTGAAGGTAAGAGTATTAGCAATGTGGGTCTGGATAATCTGACAGAGACAGGACAGTTATAAAGATGAAGGAGGGATGGTAGAGTCTTTCAGTAAACAAAATCAAGTGGATTTCGAGGAGGAAACAGACACCACATGTACCTATTGTATACAGATGTAACAGTAAAAACGATGGAAAGGTTGTAGGTTTTGTGTGAAGTGAACGCAGCTCTAGTGTTGTAGAGGGAATGTACAGGTAAAATCTCCAGGTATAGATCGGGCAACGGAAATTGATTTGTAATGTAAATGTTGTGATTTATGTGTGGTCAAATTGACACTGGAGATCCTTTTGATGAACATGCAGGTATCGATTTTTTCATGATTTTTTTTTTTTACTTTAATTTAAGTATGCAATGTCATCAATGTGATGTTATGCTGTGATTATTGGCTTGTACAGTTAATGGTAAAGTTACGTAATAGATCGAACATATGCATGCATGGCAGGTGTAAATGTATTTTTAATCCAATAAGATTGATGTGGTACTGTTAATTGAGTTGACAGACAGGTACACAACTTTACCTGCTGTAGAGATCTGTGTTAATATGGCTTTGGTCAGGTTTGTTTGGGATTTGAATTATGTCCTCGCAACAGATATTTATAGTTTGGGAAATGGACTTAGATCCAAATTAAGGAAATTAATCAGCAAAATGAAAAAATGAAATCTTAAATTTGATGCAATAAAAATGCCAAAATTTGAGAGACCCTTGTTTATGATTCAGAAACTTTTGTGTAGGAAAGATTTTTTCATCAGAATAAGAAAGGAATGGCTTCCTTTGGGAAACGGCCAGGGCTAGAAATTAAATTTGAATACCACTTAAGTCAATTGGGGTAGTAGTTTCCAAATTTTACTAGTCCATGTGCAAATTCCACTAACCAAATATTGTTCAACAAGATAAGTAATATCAAATTTTGACTAGTCAAACGGGCGAGTGGTTTTTAGAACCACTAGTCCAGCAGGAAATTTCACTAGTCTCAGACTATCTGGCTACCTAGACTGACCACCATCTCTAGAATATTAAATAATTAAGAAAAAACTAACTCTGATAATTTTGATCACTTGGATGTCTGATTCCTAAGTTCTAAACAAGGGGGAGATAAGCTAGTAGTAAAATGCAGTCGAGAAATTCTTCATAAACACTTAGGGGCTGGTGGCCAGTCTATCTGGCTACCCTAAATAACTTGTTTCATAATTGTTGTAAAATAAATAAAGTTTATTTCTACCCTTATTGTCTTTTTGAGTCCTAAATGGATCAGTTTAGGATGGTAATAAATAATGGTTAAATAATAATAAATCATTGTATAGGCTTTACTTCCATGTTATTTGACCCACAGGCAACTTGAACAATTGATGAAGACTAGATTGAATAGAATATAAGGAAATGTACATCATTTGAAAGCTAGATATATAATGTTTACCAGGAACAAGGAATGTAGTAAATACCTGTTTGGCTGAATAAGACCGTTTGTTTACCAAAACTTGAATTTTCACTATTAATACAATTATCTGTAACACACAGGATTAAAACTCGTATTCACAAAAGCTCTAGATTTAATGCATCGAATGTAAGAGTTTCTTAATATCCTAATTTTAATTATGGTTATGATTTCGTATTGTAAAGACAAAATATTATTGAGTATTAAGTATGAAATATAGGGCCAATGGGTGTAAATGACTAGGTTTTTTGAGTGTGAATGACCGCTATAATGAATGGCAAAATAAGTATATAAGACGATTAACATGTAATTACTTCTAAAACATTAATTGATAAAGAAGTATTGGATTAAATTCATATTATAATCCTTAGGCATAATTAGAACAGAAGAAAAAAAGACTGATACTGCTGGTCCTACTCTGTAGCCTACTGCCAGGCAGTGTTAAGTCATATTTCTAGGCCTGGTCTTACTCTGTAGCCTACTGCATGGCAGTGTTAAGTCATATTTCTAGGCCTGGTCTTACTCTGTAGCCTACTGCCGGGCAGTGTTAAGTCATATTTCTAGGCCTGGTCTTACTCTGTAGCCTACTGCCGGGCAGTGTTAAGTCATATTTCTAGGCCTGGTCTTACTCTGTAGCCTACTGCCGGGCAGTGTTAAGTCATATTTCTAGGCCTGGTCTTACTCTGTAGCCTACTGCCGGGCAGTGTTAAGTCATATTTCTAGGCCTGGTCTTACTCTGTAGCCTACTGCATGGCAGTGTTAAGTCATATTTCTAGGCCTGGTCTTACTCTGTAGCCTACTGCCGGGCAGTGTTAAGTCATATTTCTAGGCCTGGTCTTACTCTGTAGCCTACTGCCGGGCAGTGTTAAGTCACATTTCTAGGCCTGGTCTTACTCTTCAGCCAACTGCCGAACAGTGTTAAGTCACGTTTCTAGGCCTGGTCTTACTCTGTAGCCTACTGCCGAACAGTGTTAGGTCATATTTCTAGGCCTGGTTTTACTCAATAGCCTACTGCCGGGCAGTGTTAAGTCATACTTTCTAGGCCTGGTCCTACTCAATAGCCTAATGCCAAACAGTGTTAAGTCAAATTTCTAGGCCTGGTCCTACTCAGTAGCCTACTGCCGAACAGTGGTAAGTCACATTTCTAGGCCTGGTCTTCCTCTGTAGCCTAATGCCGGGCAGTGTTAAGTCATACTTCTAGGCCTGGTCTTACTCTGTAGCCTACTGCCAAACAGTGTTAAGTCATATTTCTAGGCCTGGGCCTACTCAATAGCCTGCTGCCGAACAGTGGTAGGTTATATTTCTAGGCCTGGTCCTACTCAATAGTCTACTGCCGAACAGTGTTAAGTCATATTTCTAGGCATGGTCCAACTCAATAGCCTACTGCCGAACAGTGTTAGGTAATATTTCTAGGCCTGGTCCTAGTCAATAGCCTACTGCCGGGCAGTGTTAAGTCACATTTCTAGGCCTGGTCCTACTCAATAGCCTACTGCTGAACAGTGTTAAGTCATATTTCTAGGCCTGGACCTACTCAATAGCCTACTGCCGAACAGTGCTAGGTCATATTCCTAGGCCTGGTCCTACTCAATAGCCTACTGCTGAACAGTGTTAAGTCATATTTCTAGGCCTGGTCCTGCTCAATAGCCTACTGCCGAACAGTGTTAGGTCATATTCCTAGGCCTGGTCCTACTCAATAGCCTACTGCTGAACAGTGTTAAGTCATATTTCTAGGCCTGGGCCTACTCAATAGCCTGCTGCCGAACAGTGGTAGGTTATATTTCTAGGCCTGGTCCTACTCAATAGTCTACTGCCGAACAGTGTTAAGTCATATTTCTAGGCCTGGTTCTACTCAATAGCCTACTGCCGAACAGTGCTAGGTCATATTCCTAGGCCTGGTCCTACTCAATAGCCTACTGCTGAACAGTGTTAAGTCATATTTCTAGGCCTGGGCCTACTCAATAGCCTGCTGCCGAACAGTGGTAGGTTATATTTCTAGGCCTGGTCCTACTCAATAGTCTACTGCCGAACAGTGTTAAGTCATATTTCAAGGCCTGGTCCAACTCAATAGCCTACTGCCGAACAGTGTTAAGTCATCCTTCTAGTCCTGGTCCTACTCAATAGCCTACTTCCGAACAGTGGTAAGTCACATTTCTAGGCCTGGTCTTACTCTTCAGCCAACTGCCGAACAGTGTTAAGTCACCTTTCTAGGCCTGGTCTTACTCTGTAGCCTCCTGCCGGGCAGTGTTAAGTCACATTTCTAGGCCTGGTCTTACTCTGCAGCCAACTGCCGAACAGTGTTAAGTCACCTTTCTAGGCCTGGTCTTACTCTGTAGCCTCCTGCCGGGCAGTGTTAAGTCACATTTCTAGGCCTGGTCCTACTCAATAGCCTACTGCTGAACAGTGTTAAGTCATATTTCTAGGCCTGGTTCTACTCAATAGCCTACTGCCGAACAGTGCTAGGTCATATTCCTAGGCCTGGTCCTACTCAATAGCCTACTGCCAAACAGTGTTGAGTCATATTTCTAGGCCTGGTCTTACTCTGTAGGCTACTGCCGGGCAGTGTTAAGTCACATTTCTAGGCCTGGTCTTACTCTGTAGCCTACTGCCGAACAGTGTTAGGTCATATTTCTAGGCCTGGTCCTAGTCAATAGCCTACTGCCGGGCAGTGGTAAGTCACATTTCTAGGCCTGGTCTTACTCTGTAGCCTAATGCCGGGCAGTGTTAAGTCATACTTCTAGGCCTGGTCTTACTCTGTAGCCTACTGCCGGGCAGTGTAAAGTCATATTTCTAGTCCTGGTCTTATTCTGTAGCCTGCTGCCGGGCAGTGTTAAGTCATATTTCTAGGCCTGGTCCTACTCAGTAGCCTACTGCCGAATAGTGTTAAGTCATATTTATAGGCCTGGTCCTACACTGTAGCCTACTGCTGAACAGTGGTAAGTCATATTTCTAGGCATGGCCCTACTCAATAGCCTCCTGCCGAACAGTGTTAGGTCATATTTCTAGGCTTGGTCCTACTCAGTAGCCTACTGCCGTTCTAGGCCTGGTCCTCCTCAATAGCCTACTGCAGAACAGTGTTAAGTCATCCTTCTAGGCCTGGTCTTACTCTGAAGCCTACTGCCGGGCAGTGTAAAGTCATATTTCTAGGCCTGGTCCTACTCAATAGCCTACTGCCGAACAGTGTTAAGTCATACTTCTAGGCCTGGTCTTACACTGTAGCCTACTGCCGAACAGTGTTAAGTCATATTTCTAGGCATGGTCCTACTCAATAGCCTACTGCC